GGGCGCCGCGGGCTGAGGCGGAGGGCGGGAGCTTCCCCCGTCCCGGGCCGCCATTGCCGAGGCCGGGGGCAGGTTCCAAATCAACCGCCTCCAGCAATTACAAAATACCCGCCCGGCGTCCCGTGTTGCCCAGTAAATAAAGAAGGAGCAGTTTAATTTCCCAACGTTTTATTAAAAAAGCGATTCTGCCTAAAGGAACGTTATTGCAAAGATGAAATCTTGCTGCAGGCAGCGAGCGGGGCTGTAATCTCAAACTACATCCCACCCAGGGAGCTCTTTGTGCTATATTAAAAGCATTGGGCTTTTTTGTGTGACATTTGGAAGTTTTTTTAATGTTGATTAACAACTTTTATTTAAAATTATTCCTAAAAAGTAATCTAAGGAGAGTGACTCTAGAATTTCCTGTATCACTTATGAGCTTTGCCGCTTGGTAGATATAAACTGTTTTACCCATTTTTCTAATTTCTCAGCAGAATTAAATAATACTAATAAATAAAACTTTAATGCACCTTTTATTAGATACAACTACACTAACAAAATCGGTCCCTTTAATATTTTAGGAAGTTTTCTTAACAATTTCTAACTGGTTTCCTATCATCTTAACGAAAATATTTAGTAGCAATGCATAATGCATAAAGCAACAGTCAATAAGAGTATCAATCCTCAGAATCACTGGAGTTAAATGAAAAGATGAATGATTTAACCCTCGAATGTGGTATCACGGTGGCTGCAGACGGACCTTGGGTGTCTCTGAGGCTCTGCACGAGCGCTACCAGGGACCAGCAGGTCCCTGCCCAGTCGTACAGGTACCCAGCGGGAAGGGATCCGAGTCTCCACACGTCTGCTCTAGGGATGCCTGAAACAAAAACAGCCGTAACTGCAAAGGCAAAGTCAAAACTGTGACCAGCGATGCCACCTGAATGAGCAGGGAAGGTCACCCCATGAGTGGGACTTTGCACAAGTCCTGTAATTCCACCTTGGCAAACTGTGATGGTGTGAAGAGGCTTATTTTAATGGTTAATTATGTGAAATACTTTCTTTTTATTATAGTTACAGGTTGACCTTTATTGACTGAAAAAAGATCCCATTTTAGGATTCCCTTATCTGTGATTTAATCTATTGGGAAGCCAAATATAGTTTCTGAAGTAAGCACCTTAAAAGCTGGAAGTTGCCAGTGACACTGTTTCACTGATGAGCTGTGTCTGGTAACCTCACAACTAGTCTAGGATATTTACCAGTTATACAGTCCAGCAGCCCCTCTGCTTGAACCTGCACAGATGCAGCAGTTGGATCAAAGCAGTAAATCTTCTGAATCAAATTGTCATCGAGTTTCTGCAATGCACAGAACAGAGAGTCAGATAGCAGTGGGAAAAAAATGGAGTATTACAGAATTAAAGATGGCTAAGCCAAGCAAATAGGATATCTGTAGGTAGCACTTGCAGAAAAGTAGAAAAAATGGGATATTGAATGGATGAGGTCTGCAAGAATGGAAAAATATATAGTATTCATTTATATTTAATTTGGAAGGATATTCTCCCAACAGAATAGTTTAGAAGTTAGCTACAAATCATTATGTTTATTTGTAGCTTAGGCAGATACACAGTAACTATAGACTTATGCCTGGTTTATGGATTCATTTACCATATATAACAGCTCCTTAACACCCTGTGTCAATGGATATAATCTTTCCAAATTCATTTATCCAATTCATTTCAGATCCCCATGTACAACTCTATTTGTAATGCAATTTTTTAAAATGACTTTATCTGGTCATTACTTACACATGGACATATCTACAGTGTTCACTTGTCCATTTTCCACTCTTTAAATAAATAAAAAAAAAATCTGGCTTATTAAACTGGCCAGCCCTTTTTGTGTGACACACATCAAATTATTTCACTGCCTATCCACCCTTGGCAAATTCCATTACATCTTCTTGGGGAAAGAAGAAGGGGAAAAAATGCCTCAACATTTCAAATTCTCACCAGTATACACTGACTCCAGTTCTCAATCTTCTCTGAGCCCTTCCACTTTGGATAGAAAAGCAACAGCACAGCCTTTACTATGCTGTGTACCAGAGCTGGAGGTTCTACATAGCTCTTTATCTCAGCAAAGTCCTCAGCTTTAAGTTTCTGGATACACTCACGCAGGTCCTGCAGCATGAACCGGTGGAAAAGAATCCCTGCATGCCTCAAACTTGCCACGTTTTCTGCCTCTGGAATTACAAGTCAACCTTTCAAGAAGCTGCTTATAAATATCTACTACTCAAGACATGCTACTGACTGAAAGGCCCTGCCCTCTCTATAATTAACTCTTTTTACTTCTTGACTAAGTGGCTGTTTTTTACACAGCCCAAGTATTTTATGAAACATTTTGAAATGCAGATGTGTTTGAGAAAATTACACTCGCTGTAACATAAATGTGTTGATAACAAAGAATATTTCAAAGGAATTGTATAGCTGCCATAAGTATTATGAATCTATATGTTCCTGGACCCACTCTGGTCTTGAGAGAACTGCAGCCACTGAGGGAGTAATTACTACAACTTCCCCCAGTGCAAGTAAGACATCTCCTCCATTCTGCCTAGCTGTACTCTGCTGAGTACTTACGCTTGCTCAGTACAGTTTACATGGATTAAAGGTTTCTATTTGTCTTTTCACATTGGTATGAGTGATACTGCAGATGTGGTTTTCCTGAGACACATTGATTTCATACCCACAAAAGAGAAGTTTAGCTTTGTATGCACAATACCCAGTATATAGATTGGTTCCGTTTCCCCTGAACACATCTTCAGTATCTCTGAGCAGGCAGCTTGGACAATCTTCAGCATTTTCTGCAGGTCTTTGTGCTCATGGGGTAGTAATCCTTGGTGATGTCCCATACTGAGGTCTAATGCCCCGAGAGCTTGTCCTGATAGATCGCGGAGAGGTACTGCAAAGTGGTATTCTCCGTAGAGATAGGTGCCAACGACCTGTGAAGTGTCTGTGCATTTAAACAGGTAATCTCTAAAAAGAGAATAAGGAGAAAAACATGTTCTACTTTCTATAACTCCACTTCTGTACTTCTGTAGTGCATTCTAGCAAGAAACCATTTCTTGTTGTTGAAACAAAGGTATTATATTATTAAATTTATTTTCTTGCAGCTTAATTATGAACAGATGTAAGTGTCATTCAGATGACATACAGAAAGGGAAAAATAGCATTTTGAAACAATAATGCTTACCCAGAAAATCGCTAAAAATCGTAAGAGTTTAACAAACTCATATTAAGTTGTAGTCTTGCTTTAAAAACAGCTTCCTGTTTATAACCATCTTGACATTTGTTCTATAGAGTTTTTAAGAAGTAAAAACTTCTGCTGGAACAACAAATGACTCTTCAACAAGTTTGACAACACTGATGATATGTTAAAGAGAAGTCTGTGAGGTTCTTGTCAGTTGAAGGAAACAGTTGAAGGAAATGAGACTAATATAGCCAGGAAAAAAAAAAAAGACAGATTAATCTAAAGAGCAAAATGCTACAGTATAGGCTCTGATCCTGTAAACCTTTCACAACAAGCATAGAGTTTGCTTGGCAGCTCATCTGGTAAGCATTATTAGAAGCTAAGTTTTTACAGTCCGGGCTGTCCTATGTCAGTATGGCATGCACACACACGAGATGCCAGGATAGTAGGAGAGCTATAGGCAAACACCCTTGTAGACTTGCATTCCCATTGGTTTTATGTAATGTGTACCATGTCTGATGCAGACTAGAGTGTAGGACCAGAAATAATCAGTTAGATTGCCAGAACTCACCTTAAAAGGTTCTCTTTTCTGAGGAGAAGAGTAGAAGAGGTATGAATTTCTCTTTGCCCTGTATGATCTGCAGTGATCATCTTCCGCAGAGCATAGTCACATGTCTGTTAGAGAGACAGGGAAGTTTAGCTTCATTCCTGAAAGGAAAAACGATTCTGAAGCCAGGAGAGAAAGGAAGCTTTATTTCTCAAAGAAAGGCTCCCACTCACATTCAAGTGAGGATGATTTATAGATGGATGATTTATAGATATCTCCCAACAATGTCTGGTTTTATTCCCAGAGTATTTTCCTCAAGATTCATGAAGAATGTGCCCTGGAGCTCCCTCAGCCAGACTATTTATTTCAATACCAGGTTCCCATACTGAGGAACACCCACAGATTAGTGAAGAGGTTTCCTGTGGACCTTCTTTTTCATGTCCTTTTACAGACCTTTTCTCATGTCATGTTCATTTTAGCATACCTCGACATGTGAAAAGCACTGGGGGGAGCAAAAGACCTGGCTATCTGGCACTGCAAAGCCTGGAAGGATGACAGAACGCTGCCAACATAAACGCGGCTTATCAGAGGAAGCAGATGAATTATGGTTGCAGAAGATGTCATGCAGACTTTTCAGTGACACAGGATCAGTCCTAAATACTGCATACACTGGCTTTTCCTCTTAACTCACTTTTATGTGAACTGAAAACTTCCCAAACCCCAAATGCCTGCTGAAAAATTGCAATATGATCTGCAGGGAAGTGGGCTGCCCTTACAAGCTGCCTGGTTGGGAGCAGCCATTTCCGGAGTTGTATTTACACCTTGGTTGATAACATTGGTTCAGAACAAGGAGCTAGGGTGTTCTTTTTTTTTTTTCATGCCATAATTTGGGCACCCATAGAATCTCCACAAAGAGCAGCTCCCTTTGTGGAAGGCCGAATTAGCAGAGCTTTAGTAGGGAGTTGCCAAGCTGTTTATCCAGCTGCTGTGTGTGTTTTTGGGTAGGTATATAGTTTTGTTTTGTTAGCTGTTATGCAGACATAAGTAGTAAAGCAGCAGAATATTCCCTTGCCCCATTGAGAAAGGACTACTGCAGGAGAACTGCTGATATGTTTTACACAGGAGGATGACAAGAAGGAAGAGGGTCTCCTTTAAAGAGGGAACCTTCCCTCTCTACTTGCACTGCCCTTTTGCTACATAAGCAGGCACAAGAATCTCAGGCAGGTTTCCATTTTGATGAAAAAGCCACTAAGAAATGATAGGCAGATAGAAATGGCAGATCATCACCCAAGTAGCTCCATCAGACCCCAACAAGTACAGTCATTTTCACTGCACTGCCCTGCATACCTTATCTTGGCCAGGCTCCACAAAATATGTAATGACAGTGTGGATGTTGGATGTTCTTGAATACAACCAGTCCAGAGCAGTGAGCATCTCTTGCAGAATGTTTTCCCGTGTGCAGACATGGTGGTAGGCATTGCTGAATGCATGAGAAACTCCCTGTGAAAGCAGAATCCTTCAAATGAGCCAGACATTTCCATATGACTTGGGGATGGAGCTGGGGAAACATTCATGCCTCAAAATGAGGTAAATCGGTATTAACAATTTAATGAGAACTTGCAATGCTGAAAAGCCACAATGAGATGTCCCTTATTAAATAAGGCTCTAAGGCTCCAGAACACCCTGGTCATACCCAAGTATGAAAATAGATAAAGTTGTTTTTTAGTGGAAAGTGCAAAGTTCTTTGCTAATGTTGGCTTACTGCGCTCCCTGCTGCTCAGATGAGGCATATGCGATGAGGCTGATCCTAAAGAGCATCCCAAAGAAATCCAAACAGCCATCGTTTATAAGCAGCCCATTGTGTGACATGTGCAAGTTCATGAAACTTTATGGAAACAAACACAAATTTTAGGTCCAGAGCTTCTGTAAGTGAATGCTACTATCTTTGGGCCTTGCACAAACCCGCAATTCATTTACTAGTCAGATCAGAAGAAGTTTAAATAAATTATTGACAAGGTGACACCTGAAATTCGATTAAGGTGGTAATAAGTAAGACACTAATAGGATGTTCTGCTCCTACCAGTTTCACCATGAGCTGTAAAAAGGGGCCCACACTTTCATTCTAGATGTACATCTTCATCTAGTCAGAGCAAGTCTGGAAAATTCACATGGTCCTTAGACAGTTTTTTGAAGTCTTCTCATAAGCTGCCTTCTCATGATGCTTACCTGATAGAAACTGATCTCATGGGTCAGAAAAATAGTTTTCTCACACTCATCCCAAAGTGTATCAAGTCCTAGAATTCCGAAGACTCTCCAGCGAGCATCTTGCAATGGCAGTACCAGGAATGAACCTCTTCTCTCTTCCACTGGGCGGTCATAGTTCCAGAAGTGGATGTTCCCATGGAGCTGAACTCTTGGAACGTGGATTGGCTTCCCTTCTTCGACAGCTGCAAAGCTAAAAAAATAACTTATGAAGATTGTGGGAGTAGTGGGAAATTCTTAGGAGATAAAAAGAGCAACTTTGAACTTTCCTCGCTTTAGGATTCCGAGAAGGAAGGTGTTAGCTCCTTACTCTGGCCACACCTAGCACACTGCAGCTATTCCATCTCAAAGTCAGAGGCAATAAATAAGGCCTTTTTCATCCTCAAGTCATTATAAAAACATCAAGTAATGAGCGTAATGAAAAGGAATTCAGAGGTGAATAGCAGTTACATTTAATAGATTAGAAGAGGCAAGATTTAAAGGAAGAGACAAATGTGTCTATCTTGCAGAAACAAGAGGTAAAGAGGCAGGAAGGCTGTTTACACCGTAAACATTAGCAAAAAAAAGACATTGTTCTCAAAAAATATTCAGTGGATGTAAATGGTTGTAATAGAATTAATTTTAAAAGAGTAAAATGTAGGCTGACTATAACAGACGTTTGCTAAAGGATGAGACTTATTAGACTGTGAGCTAATTTCCCCAAGGAGTGAGATCCCAAACAAAGCAGTTATAAGTAGACCGTGTAAAGTATAATAATGTATATGATAATGACTCACTCCATCACAGTGGTCCCTGAGGGAAGTTCTTCTGTGGAGTCAACCTGCATTTCTAGTGCACCCCAAACCACTGCTTGGCACCCTTACACTCCACGTGTTTTTCTGAGAAAAAAAGGAACAGTCCTTGGAGCTTTCCTTACCTCACTCCTTTCATGTCTCTGTAAAGTATCTGGTTTAGGACATATGGGGCATCATCTGCAGTACATGCCACATAGCGTAGGAGAATCCGTCCTCGCTCTGGTGAGATCTGGTTCTCTTCCAAAAGGGCAATATATGCACTGATCTTCTTGCTATCCCCATGGGCTTCGGCATCCTAGCAACCAAATGTTTCCCATTACATTATGTGCATTAGCCATTGGCCATTACGCTTATTTCAGGCACTTATCACTTGTCTCATTTATGCTGATCTGCTGTTCTAGGTCACTGATTTTGTATGTCATGCACCAACTGCATGACACATATATGGCTATGATGTGATTGCATCTGACCTCAACACACTGCTATAAACAAAAACACCCCATGTTTTGATTGACAGGGAGAACAGATTTCATTTTTGTTACTGCTAGTGGAAGGCCAGTTCATATAAAAATAATTTCGATTATAACCTGTGTCTAAACAAAACTCCTATTGATTTAATCTCCCCTGGGAGATTCTTCTGAAAAAATGAGACAAACAAGTGCCAGAGTTATTGCCTTTACAGATCTGGACAATATTATAGGAATGCTTCAATTACTATAGTACTGAAAAGGGGGAGAAGTTTTGCTCCTGCAGTTTAACTGTCAGGACAAATATCTAAAGTTGCATCTGGAAGGAAAAAGTGAAACTATTCCCACTACAAGTTATTCATCTTTGTCACAGACTGAGGCTCCTCCACTTTCTCTCAGAAGCTCTACAGCAAAAACAGTGGATTTCCACATTGAAACTAATCAGGTCTCCAAAATGTGAGTCAGTAGGTATTCATGAAAGGTTTTCTGTGTTGGCAAAGGACGAACAAGAATTTCTGTATCTTAGATCTGACTTGTGATTCTTTGTGTTTTTAATGACTGGCTCTCCTGAACATGAGCTAAGTGGAGAAAAGCGCAAGGAAATCCAGCCTTAGACCAACTCCTCATGATATTTGGCAGTTCCACTCAATTGAAGACAGTGTCACTATCCATGATGGAAAAGACTCTCATGCTCCATGACGTGCATACCTGAGAGAGGACTTTAAACACTGCTCTGTAAACTGGTTCCAAGCTTGCTCCGCTGGTCTCAGCTGCTTGCTGGATGCTGTGCAGCCATTTCCTCCTGGCCGAGTGTTGCAGATACTCCATGTGACTGCGTTCCACACTTGTGCTCAGGAACTCCACCAAGTTATCAATGACTTCATCCTCATCCCCACTTAACTCAGAAACCACTAATTCAAGGTAAGTCTGGAACGTCCGTGGGGACAGTTTTCCCATTCTGCTAGGCTGTGGGTAGCTTAAGCAAAGGTGCTTCTTTGCTAGTAGAAGAAACAGAAAATAGAACAGGGATAATCTAAATCATCTCTATTCAACTTATACTATATTTTGCTTTTTATTCAAACTGGCTTCAAGTGGAGTGCTCCACCCCTCATTCTGGGTTTCTTCCAGCTATCTCCTAAATTTAGGTTGTCATCATGACAGGTAATCTCTAGCTTCAAGACTGGATACACTTTCCTTTAGATGAGGACTTCCAAACTAACCATATTTTTTAATTACTCTGTTTTGAGTGTCTGTGATGCATTATTGAAATAACATTTATACGGTGCTGAATCTCATAAATGAAGATCAAAGAAAATGAAAGCTTCACTGAAGACATGCAATAGATGGGACAAGGGTGTTTGAGAACCACCAGGAGATGTGAATGTGGAGCAAAAAGATCACAAACACCTGAACAAGAACTACCAAAAGTGGCTGGATTTAGAAGATTTAATCTGTTTGAAAAACGTCTAAAGCACCACAGAGCCTGCTAGCCCACAGGGGAACGAAGGAGTAAGGATCATTGCATCTCTTTCCCCTTTGCAAAGGCCAGAGGAGTAAACCCATGTTGCATTTCATAACCCAGGGAATGAAGCTGGGGTGATCCAAGTATGGCAAAAAAGCTGTAGGAAAAAGGGTTGAGGGAGTTTCCTTTCCCTTGGAGAAAAGAGGAATGCAGCAAGGCTCTAATTGTGATTATCAAAAATTGCTTTTCTGCACTACTCGCCCTAGTTCACAAAATTCCAGTTTTCCCAAAGGTCCTGAAGACAAACAGGGTCCTCCTAGCCTTGGAATCCTAACAGGCTGAGCAACAGAATGTACCTTCTATGTACAGGTTATTATTTAAATCAGCAGCCAGTCCAACTGGAGATTTTCTGCATTGTTTGCCCCCCATTACAAGTGTTATAAGATCTGATTCTGTTCCTTCCCATGCTGCAGATCTGAACTCACGGGGGTGCTCTTGTACAGTCTTTGGAAGTCGCGGGTCAGCTTCCTGTCTTTGGAAACCTGGGATTCATGGAGTATTCTGCCCAGAGCTGTACTTGCCTCATCATGCCCCTGGCAGTTCCTCTTCCGAACACTGCAACGACTAACACTTTGATTTTTTTTTTTCTGCATCCTGATTTCAAGTCCTGCTGGACTCAGAGGAATAAAGAAAAGGAAAGAGAACTATTTGTCCATCTGCTTCCTACTAGCAAACCAGCAATCACTGCTGTATAGGTAGAAGTGTGAAGTTTGCTGCTCAGCAGGGAGTATTTGTGATCAATACATAGAAGAGTCTATGATGAACAGGCTGTTAGAAAATGCTCTGGTTAATGATGCACAAGAACAGGCAGGAAGCTGCCTGATGCCCTAATTGCCTCTTGGTGCAAAAAAAAAAAAAGACACATTTTACAGGGGCTGAGAGTTTTCTCTTTCCCCCTCAGAATTCAGTGAGGATTTTATCATTGATTTTAGCTGTAGCAGTAGCTTTGGTGTATAATAGTGACTGATAGAGGTGTATAATAGCCCCACTGATTCTGGAGCTGACTGTTATTGCCGTCTTATTCTGCTAATCATCTGAAGAATGTTACAAATTCTTTAATGTCATTTCTGATTTTCTGACAAAACCAGGATGGAGAATTTTCTGATGATATACAATTATTTGGATTTGACCTCCCCTTTTCCCTGCCTTTGAAGAAAGAGATGAAGAAAGAAATACACAAGAAGTTGAACTTTTTTTTTCCCTTCAACCCCAGTGTTTTTTCATCAAAAGTTAAAAAAAAAGTCTTCCAAAATGATTTGTTTTGGATCAAATGACATTTTAATTAAAAAATTACATGACCAGAGTATGCCTGCCAGTTCTAAGAGGACACCCAAAGGTGCAGAAAAGGGCTCCCTATGGTCATCCAGGAATCTGGCCCATAGCACTGCCAGACCCATCAAGGCTTTGTCTGTAACACCGAATCCAGCCATGGTCCCCAGGCCACTGGGAGTCCTCGTGCACGAGTGGCACAAGCTGCTCCTGGAGCTGAGAAGGGAAAGAACTGCTACCTGTCTGCACCATTCTTACAACCATGGTGGTATCTTACTGACAATGCCAGTTGATTTGTCCATTATTTGGGGGGATGTATGAAGTTTGGGCAAGGGCTTGAGATGCCACAGGATAATGCCAGCTTATATAGCAGGGTGCAAGAAGAGGTAGAGCTGGTGCTAGTTCTCCAGTTACATAAAAATAGGTTTGCCCCTTACAAGAGAAAATCTTTCTCCCTGGGAGACTCTTGAAGGAGCTGGCAGCACCTGGCAGGGTCAGTGCCTTCATTAGTGTGTAACATAATGAGTGATTTCACCCAACTATATGTGTGTTATTACACTTCTCATTTACAAAGAAAATCAAATATTTCAACCCACTTTTCATTCCATGCTGTTACCCAGGAGAAATGAAATGTCTGCGAGCTCTTCCTTCCAATCTTGTTCTATGATTTCTTTAAGAGATTAGGTTGTGGCTGCGAGAAATAGTTTCATGTTCCTTGTATGTAGTATTGATTTTGCTATACCATTTTTTCTATTTATATGTCCTTTAGTTTATGAGGCTCTCAGGGAAAGGACTCCGTCCTTCCGTGTTTCTGTGCTGCATTCAGACATACTGTGAGCACAGCAGAGCTACAAACTGCCCAGCTTTTGTGGCTGTACAGCCTGGAGACAACTGACTGTGGCATGCCAGCAGCCCCCCACTCCTCCAGCTGCCTCAAGCTGGAGAGCGACGAGATTCAGGTGGTTGCCAAAAAGAGACATTTCCAGCAACTCATGGCAGAGTGAGGAACACAGAGCTATGCAAACCTGAAGCACTGGGAAGCAGGGGCTATCAAGGGTAGCCATGTGTAGTTCAGGCTTGCCCCCCAAATCTCAGATGAATAAACTTACTCTCTCCACCCAAGCACAGATACAGACATGTTCTTAATTGCTAATACAATATTTCAGAGCACATAATGCCTACATGTTAATATGCATGAGGCTGCCAGACAGGTCTAGGTGAACCTGCTGCTCTTCTGCCTGACCCAAGTCTACCTTGTCAAGGACCAAATTTCTTAAGTTTACTGAGAGAAATGAACTAGCTGAGAAATGAAACTCAAAGTTGCTACTAATTGATGAGACCTGTGCAACTCTGGATTACTAAGGCCATTTGAGACCATAAGGAGAGCTGGTGCTCTCTCCTACCAGAAGCATTCCTACAAATATTTCACTAAAAGGTAATTTATTAAAAATACCTATATAACACAGGGTAGACCAAAAGTGCAAAACACGTATCCCCAGGATTTGGGTACATTTTTTTTTTCACTGTCATATTACAGATCCTTAATGCTTATTAAAGCCGAAATAATTTTTCAACATGTCACAATGTCATGAAAGCACTTGACTGCCTCTCTGACTGGGAAGCTGACTCTCACATCACTCTTTCACAGAAGGAGAGGATGGAGCCATGTATTAACAAGTAAGTCTAAATAATTGTTCCTTTTCATTTTATACATCATACCTTGTACACTATTTATGGTTATGCTTGCAAAACCAAAAAATTTCTGATGCTTGCTCACAACTTCATTAGTACTGTCACTGAATACTTGAAGGACTAATGTGTTGACATTGTTCCTCTCTCACAGCAAAGCTGTTTTCTTACCATTCCTCAAGGCTTTTTTTTCCATTCCTTCTTTGAATGTGCTTAGAACAGCATCTACCTCTTTCAGATCCAGAAACCCAGATGCATTGCTGTCCCACTTTTCAAAGAGTGCCTCCAAAAGCAGTTTCCGTCGGGCCAAGAGAGAGCTGCGGTGAACCTAGAACAGAGAGTATAGAACAGAGAGTAATTCCAGGACACTGATGCTCAGATTCTACACAATTATGCAAACTGCAGTACCAGGCTGATCACACAATCCCCATTGGCCAGGACAGTTCCATAAATACACAACTCAGACCTGGGGATGAATCATTAAACCTAGGAGATACTTGAAAACACTAAACACAGTTGACAGGTTAGTTTTACCAGGCAGAATCAGCAGTGCAGAGGGTCATTTTCCAGTAAACAAATGAAGCCTGTGCTAGATCTAAGTTGAGATTAACTCAGATAAGTGGCAGTTTCCCAGAATAAAAACATCTTCCCAGACAAAAACAACCAGAGCCTTGTTAGTAACACCCAAAGATTTGATAGCTTGTATTTCTGTGCATTGCTGTTTTGTCAGTGCTGCGCTCAAGCGTGTGGGCTCCAAGAAATATGTTCTTTAGAACCCGGATTTGCACAGCACACAGTGGTAAATGGCTTGGAGTGGAATTCTCTCAAAGGCCAAAATAGTGGCAGTGTGTATTGTGTTCAGCATGGAGACAGCAGAGCCGTCAGATCCAATATCTCATCCAAATTAGGTCAGCAGCACAAAGGGAAACTAGCAAGCAGTCTGAGGAAAATGCAGCTGGAGAGGTTTCTATGGGCAGATCCACCAATAAATATATCTATACTCTAAAATATGGGCATTCTGATGCTGTGCATAAGGATATTGCTGAAGGGGAATGTATTTATTCAACAGATGGCAGCTGCTCCTTCAGTTTAAACATAAAGATGCATGTACCCATTCATACACACCCACATACGCATGCAAAGCAAGCACACTTATTTAAAACCCTGCCCAAAACATCCACAAACTCGTATGTACAAGCCAGTGCAGTAGGTCAGACATCAGGTTCTTGACTGTTGGAGAGGTGAATAAGCAGAACAGAATGTTTTGAGCTCTTTCATATCTAAATATCCACCTGCTGTCTCACTGAGTCCAGGTCTGAAGCAGGCAGACAACCTGTCACAGCATTTGTCTGTCCTCACTTCTCAAGCTAAGGGCTAAGGTAGGGGAATCCATATGAAAGTGAAAGGGTAAAAGAATTTAAGATTGGAAGCCAATAGTTCTGCCAGTATGGGATTAAGAATTGACTTTGCAAGTGTCTCATATGTTTGGACATGGGATTGGCAAAACTCATCAATATTTACCTTCTTTAGTTGTTCAATTTTTTCCTCTTCTGTCTGTTTGTATTCTTCTTGGATAAAGGCAATAAGACTCTTCACAGTAGGCAGCGAAGTGCCTCTACCAACAAATGTCTCCATGAGCTGGACAAACTGCGGCAGGTTGAGGGAGCTTTCATCAAAAACACTCCTGATCTGAGGAGCACCACAGCTCTGAATCTCTAGCATGATGGGACGCAAGTCTGAAAGGCAGGAAGCACAGTGTGTTGCTGGAAGCTAAATGCTCCCTAAATACAGGCAAATGAGAGATATTAAGGAATCCAGCACTTCTTATCCAGTGAAACAATCACTGAATATAAATCAACGCCATGCTGACTAAAGGCCCGAATCTGTTTATACTTTCTTACAGTATCTCTTCAGTCTAGCATGGGTACAATCGTACAACCAAGTTACATCGCTGCAAGTAGGTGAGCTGAAATCACAGTTATACTAAAGGTTGTTTTCTGAGACACGAACTGTTCTCTTGACCTTGAAGTCAGCTTCAGGATCAGTGTTTGTATTCTCCCTAAACTTCTAGCTCACAGCAGTAACAGCCTGTGTAACTGCAGTAACTGCCTGTCACTATATGTCCAAGTGACCTAATACCTGGAAATCTAGAGTTCTCACAGTTCCAGTCCTCTGTTATTCTCTTTCCATAGCTGCTATACCTGAAACTTAGGTCAGAGGTCAGAAGGTCACCTGATGAAAGATAAAACATACTGTGTAAATATATAAGGTTTTTAAAAAGATTTTTAAAGATTTTGAAAAAGCCTGTTAAATACATATCCAATCACAGTCTAAAGCAGACGAAAAGAGCTGACACAAGTAGTCACCTGACCATGGCATCCCATCTATCATTTGCTTTGTTTTTTCAAATTCCTCGCTAAGTTTGGTCTGAGAATCTTCTCTGGATGACAGTGCTGGACCTGCAATTTTAAAAGGAAATCTTCTGTAAACCAGGGCTTAAAATATACCTCTATGTCTCTAGAGTTATCAATAGTTATTTATTTTTACTGTTTGGAATATTGCTTCTTGAAACTTACCTGGTGACAGTTATATTTTTTAGACCCTACTACAAACATCCGTTTTAGCAACAGCAATAAGATGCCCTTCTTTTCCAATGTAGGTTCAACATGAGTAACAAGTCAGTGCTCTGTACTGGAAGCTAGGCACACAAAACAATTCCAGATACGAGTGGGCTATATTGTCAGCTTCATAGCCCTACACAAGCTAAGATTGCCACTAGACTGGAGTGCAGTGTAGACCCAGCTCTTGCAGTGTTTTAAGCTGTGAGATGCAAAATGATGCATTCCCAGACCAGTAGTGAGCAGTTTGTCCTTCGACTATGTTTAAGAAAGCACCTTGTATGAAACACACAGTTACACAGCCACAGCCTTCCTAGAACAAGGGCCTTTGTATGTAATTGAAAGTATAATGTTCCTTTGGAAACCCGGTGAGATAAAAGGTTCCTGCTATATGATTTCAGAATGTATCTCCCTATGGACTGTCATATTCTAATAATTATTAAAAGCTATTTCTATATTTAACATGCTCCTGCTCTGTCTTGCAGTCATAATATTCCAGAGTGGAAGCAGAATATAAAGTTTCTCCTATTATAAGCACTGCTGCTTCAAAAAGTCCCTGCTTGATTTAAAGAGCCTGATCAGTGCCTTGAATACAGATTACCACCAAAGTGACTCACCTGCTGTCCTGAGAGAGGAAAATGTTCTGAAATCCTGACAGGAAACACCATGCTCAGGAGATAACAAAGCTTATGCTCTTTCCTACTCAAAAATTACTCACATGCTTGCAGTGGTTTTGAAATGGATTAAAAGATGAAGATTGCAGATGTGCAGAAGTGCAGATGAAGATTGGCTACAACAAAGCAGGATGTTTTACCTTTATCCCGGTCTTGCAAAAGGTCTTCAGCCTGCACTCTTGTCTCTGAGCTTGCCTGTCTTCCAAACTGGTGGTCATGTTGGTTAGAAAAACTCTCTTTTGTTGCACAAGTTTCTTCCTCAGCGACAGCTCCTTCTTCCAAAACCATTCTTGTAGCTTCAGGTGCTGGTCCTGGAATTGTTTCAGTCGGCTCTGCAATCCAGTTGTCCTCCTCCTGTCTAACCTGCCCTTCTTTGCCAGGTTCTCTATCCAAGATCGTATGGTCTTCTCCCATATTGGTTTCTGGAACTGACTCTCTACCCAGGCTAAATTCTCCTTCCTTCATCTGTTTTTCAGATCCAGTCTCTTCATCTCTAGTGACACCATCTCCAGTAAAGGCTGATCTTGGGAAGGATTCCCCCTGATTGTCTACACTTGCAGATTCAGCTTGTGTTTCAGGTCTGGTGTCTCCACCAGATTTCTCACCAAGGATTGTATCTCCATCCAAATCACTAGATTCTAAATGAGTGCTTTTCACCATTGACAAACCATCTTCACTTTCTTCTCTTACCTCTGTATCACTTGATTCCGTTTTCAGAAGCACACCTGATGCTTGGTTTTCTTCCTTAGAAATCCCTCTAGCCTCAGCTTCGCTCATGTTTGTTTGTTCATAAAGATCTTCTCTGACTGTAGTGCTCATTCCATTGGTATCTTGTCTATCATCAGCCACCGGTTCAGACACTAAAATCTGTCCCTCCGAAATTTCTGTCTGAGATAGTTCAGACTTTTCACTGAGTTCCTCAAAAACTTCTTGGTCATCAAGGCATCCCCACAAATCTGCAAGCTCAATCTCTTGCAGCTCAACTATTGGCCCTAATATAGAAAAAAAGGGTTGATAAATTGATAGTTTGCATTTGTTTTGTGTTCAAACAAGAAGAAAAAAAAAGAAGAAAGGCATTCCCAAACAAATATATTCCACTAAAAAGTACTCGCTGCAAATATGCATACTCTGAAACTCAAAATGTTGGAACAGTATTTTTACCTGCATATACTTACATCGTCTTGGGTTACAGAATCTCCTCTTGGCAATCACAGGGCTTCTGTCATAGAACTCTTCCAATAGGGCAAGTACTATTTGCCTATTTAGGAGACCAACCTAGAGAAAAAAAAAAAAAGAAAAAAAATACAATTTTTGCTTGCAGCTTTTTTTTTCTCTAGTTCTTGTTGCTTACATCAACATTTGCTGCACCGTAGTCTGTAGTATTCAATCTGCAGAAGCTAAGAATTACCTCTGGCTGGAATTTACCATTAGCAAAACATCAGCAAAAATTTCAAAGTAGACAATTTATTTCATAGGGAGAAAGATTACTTTTCTGGGCTTAGCTGGAATTCCTTATTCATATTATTCTGCAGGCATATCCTATTGCCTGCTCTGGACAAATTACACTTAGGTGATTGTGACCAATACTGCTAAATGAATTCTTCATGTGAAGATCAAAGTAAGAGCATTTCACACTTTCAGGATGTATACTGATTGCCTAGCTGTACTATGGAGGAATTTTCATTTATTAGTGACTGTGCCTGTGCTTTGGTGTTGTGCCCCCATCATTTCCTTTGAGGCATTACGTATTGGCAACTGCTGTGAAAATAATTAAATAAAAAATTTAAGCTATTATGACAACCCCTTAATTTCCACTTAAAATTCATGTGCATTTGACCACAGAGGTGACAGAAGTATCAGTTGTTCCAGTGCAGAGGAACATGCAGAGTTTATTAAGTCCTTGTTGCTCAGAGTGAGCATACGAAGACAATGAAACCAGGAAAGGACAAAGATGGGCCATTTCCAGTCAGGATATAATGAGTTAAAAAGCAAATAAAATCTAAACAATTGTAATGTCCCTATTTTTTGATGAATTCCTGTTGTCATGGTTTCAGGCCTGCCACCTTTATAATTTCCCTCCTATTAGCTGAAATATAATAGCTCATTAGAGAACAAATTTATTTAAGTTCATTACTTGTAGCAAGCAGTTTTCAGTTTGAATTACTGACTTCTTTTTGCCAATTTGCTCTTGGAGTAAAAATTGCAGAATGTAAAATTCACCAAATTTTTAATTTTATGCAAACATTTTCCTGCCCTTAGACTAAAAAAATAAATAGAGAAGTTTGCTGCTGTATTCTGGAAATTAGCTCAAGATGGCTCTGCTGTTTATAATTGAATATTGTAAGTACTGAGATCAGTGTGAGAGCAGACAGTCTGAACACAACACATGAGTTACGGGTAAAGTGCCACCCAAAGGGACTAATACTGAAAATTAAGAAAATTAATATCTCGCATTTTCTGTTACTGTGGCATCTCTCCGCTAAAGTGAATTGAAACCTTTTACAAATTCTGAGGAAATGAACAGAACTGAAATGTAACCAGTCGCTAAGTCCAGTTTTTGTCTTTCAGATGCATTTAATCTAATTCCTGATAGTAAAAAAAAAATCCTGGAAATTACTGCTGAGTTGCATTCACATGTGGGTTTGGAACAACAAATATCATCACATAATTCTGTCCCTAAGCTTACAAGACACAAGCCATAATTCCAAGTATCTTCATCTTCTTGACATTAATGTACAAATACCCTATAATATCCCATATAAACATTTATTTATGCTGTTTATTTTTCCATTAAATATCTCAGATCTAATTCTGCATCTGTTTAACAGAAACACAAACACAGAACTGTCATGGTAAGTTTTTAAGTGTTAGCAGATCACTGTCTAATATTTGGATTCTTCTTTGAGTATTTCCATTACACACACATTACATCCACACTTAATTTTCCCAGCTGTTGTTTGTCATAATCATCTTCTGGTTGCCTTGAAGTTGCCAGCACTAATGCCAAGCTTTATTTTATTAAAAAAGTAAACAAATGCAGTATTATTAAAAATAAAATAAAGTATGTTATTCTTGTCTTCAGATACTTCTTGTCATGTTAAAATAATACACTCTGGGGGATTTAAATAACTCAGATTCTATGAAGATATTTTCTTCATTGAGACAAAGTCATTTTATTTTTCTATATTGCTAAAAATTGTTAAGAATAGAAATTACTGAGTACACATTAGGAGCAGATATTTCATCTCATTTTAACGTTTATGATTTATATATATTTGCTGTCCTACCAGAGAGATCTCTATTATTTCACGGCACTTTTTCTTACAGCTTAATTTGGGAGGAAGGTGTCACAGTAAAGCCAACTATAGAAGGAGGAGCTTTGTGACAGGAAACCATTTTCAACCCAGTTTTACTACCTTGTGAGATCTTAAACTCAGCAGAAAAGGTCACGTTTCTTTGTACTTCGTGTATGACTTGGGAGGCTGACGAAAGATCGCACTGACTTTTCTTCTTTGCAGGACAAGTACAGCATCCACTATAAATAACAGCAGGCCATCTGTGTTTGCACAGCGACTCAAAACTTGCCCTCCCTTTTAACTGATGCCAACTGCAGGAGCTAGAGAGCTGAAACACGTTGACCTAATTTCCTTGTCACATAGATATTGGCAGGTGATGATCCCTAGCTGTTTTCAGCAACGTTCTGTGATCTATGAGTAATTCCTTTAGGGGCACTGACTATAACAGACTGTCATCGTTTGATCAGTGACAGGTCAGTGTTTAACTGCTTGCTTGTTTTTTTGGAAACAGGACATGTATATCTTGACCACCACAACATCCTTGCTGGTGTCCATGATGGGATGAATAGACACCCATAAAAGGTCACAAAAAGGCAAACTTTGTTCTTGTACTGCAAAGTTTCTCAGAACTACATTATTTTGAAAACTAATCCCTGGGTTGATTCAGGTGCATTTTAAGATCCTGGGCCTAAAATGTCCCTGAAAACGAAAGCAGATGGTGTTATAATGTCAAAAGAAACTGTATGTGACAGATACTAGGACAGACAAGGATGTTAAAATTAAAAGAGCCATCTCCTTTTCGGGCTTTAAAATAGTGATTCTATTTTTTTCTTATCTTGGAATGTAACTGCTTTACTATATAATTCAGGCTGTTGTTGCTGAGCTGCCATTCTTTTGGATCCACACATTTAAAATCATAATAATGATCATGTGGCTACCTTCTAATCTGACTGTAATTTAAACACTGCTTTCTCAGCTCCCTGGCCCTAATTGCAAATCACTGAGAGAGCCAGCCACACTCACCATGCAGACTGGAATAACTGCCTGCCACCAAACGAATGTAAATTAGAACTGAAACAACTGCTTTGCTGTGCTTTGAAAATGAATATTACAGGTAATGGATCACATTCAAATGGTAGAAGTCTTTGGCTTAGTTTGTATCTAACCCGGAGACCAGAAGAAGATCAGATCAAGTTTAAAAGAAGTACATGAGTCACATTAGAGCTTTACAAAATAAATTTGTGAGAGTAAGTCTACCTCAGAGGCTAAAAACAGTACTATGATCATTTTTTTTCTGCGTAGTGGTGACATCTGTGCTGATAGCTGCTCACTCTTGTGTGCTAGAATTTTTGGCTCTCTGCCTTTGAGATTCCACTGGGATTAGTAGCATGGAGATGGTGATTACTGCCACAGAACTAATAGGAAGAAAGTAACATTAAAACACGAAAGAGAAAGAGGGGAAGCTTTCAAAATTGCAAAGACAGGACTCTGCTTTACATATTACACTAACTGGGACAAGCCATCATAGCTCTTCTCGATGGGGCAATAGGAAAATTAAATGTCTTCTGACTGAGAAATAGACACATTTCTTTCCTCATCTCTGAAATAACAACCTGTCCGCCATTCTCTAAAACATAGTATTGGTGTTGAAATGTGCTCTGTAATCCCATTCTCTTAGAAGTAATGACATTATTAGCATGACATTGTAGAGCACAGTTCATTCATTCTGGGTAGGCGTGCTATAAACATTACTAGGGGAGTGATGAATGGAATATATAATATATGTAGCGAGCAAACTGCAAGATTATGTCAACTGTTTGCTGTGCAGTAGCCAGCAACTGGCTAACTGAGGCTACTTGTGAAAAAGCTGTACTTTTTGGATGAAGCCCAAGGTTTTGGCAATAACTTATGCCATTGATTCTTCAGCTCCTACTATTTACTGCTTTTCTAATAACTCTAATTTTTTTTTTAATGGGGATGTAGGGATATTCAGAGGACAACAGACAGAGTTGCTGAAAACCACATTATGGCTCTTGGGTTTCATTTGCAGCTCTGTAACTGACTCACTGTATTTTAATTTGCAGCTATAAACTGCAGCTGATGTTCACAGTACTTACCAGAGAGAGGCTGTAGAGCTTAGATTATTTTTGCATTCTAATTTTAAAGTGTTCTGCTATTTTTTGATTAAAGGACCACAGGTATACAAATTAATGCAACATAAATGATTTAATATATATTATTACTATAGTAATGTGCACATTTGTTAAGGTCAACCTCTGTAAGATTATCTTTGTTGAAATATGGCTGCATAGAAAAGCTAGCACCCAAATCCTGAAAGTGCTGTGGGAACAGGTAATGCCCAGAAATAGTAATGTCCATGGTTATTTTCTTCTCCAAAATCATGAGACACCAACTCCAGTTCACTTCTCTGGGTCATTCAGTTTCCAACTAGCCATCAGGTTTAGGCTATTGATTATTTCTCTGTCTAAGCATGAACCATGAATTTGAACAAAATGCATCATCAGCCTTCTAAACAATGCTGAGTAAGCAAAAAGAGCATACCTGGAGTTTATAAAGCACAAACAGAAAGCAATGATCCACAGAAATATCAAATTCACTATGTGGAAATCAGGTTGAGAGCTGCTTTGCCTACCTTCCCATAGTCACAAGCTAGGAAGAGGTCAGTAAACATTTGCCTCCACATATCGTGTCTTATTGCTTCTCGGAAGTCGCCCGCGCACTGGCAGAGATGCTTCAGCAGCTCTTGGAACATGTCACTTGTAAAGTCTTCAATGGTGGAAAGGACATACTGTGGAGAGAAAGAAGCAGTGTGTATGGTTAGCTGCAAATATTTTCATCCTTCTTTGAACACTTAACGTGCAAAGAAATGTATTGGAATTTCTCTTGCTCTTTAGACTGCAAACTAGGTGCATGGATGCTACACTGCCTATTTTCTTCTTTCTTTCAGAAGCAGTAACATTCTCCAAAAAAAAAAAAAAAAGCCTGGGAAATTGCTGTGCTAGGCAGTGAATAAATGTGTATTAAACAGTCCCTTTCCAGGCCCAGAGGTTAGTTGTTCAGTGGCTCAGATGCTGCACCAGAGTCCTTCCTGTGAAACGTCACTACCTAGGATAGGTTATCTCAGGTCTCGCATACAAGTTCTCTGTGGTTTTCTGCAGCATCTGATATTCTTGATTTTACTCTCAATGTAACATCTTGAACAAATGGTTTTCGTAGAACTGACAGTCACTCAGCACTCTAAGGCCACAAAATGACCACTGCCCACAATTGCAGTGTTGAATGAACTGGTCTGGATACAATAATAAAAAAATAAAAGAACCTTTTGAAAATGAGTATGCTGTCACTTAAGTCCTCTGACAGTGGGAATACTACTGAATCGAGATTTATTTTAAGTCTTAGTCTTGGAGACACTTCAACACTTTGGATTTATAGCCACATGGTTTTTATGAGCAAAAGCAATATGGTTCTAAAAATGTGGTGTGCATGACATAAATAATAATGGCCCTCAGAACAAACCACAATCCCAAAGCCTGTGCTGAATTATTACAGCAGGTTTCTGGAGCCCATACAGTTAAAAGGAGGAATTTGCAAAACATAGAATGTTTCCCATTATCCCATTTTTAGAATACTGAGAGCTAGAGAACCACTGCTAACATAAGTGCTAGTGCATCTTGAACTTGTTGAAAATGTTGCATAGGGATTAACTAACTGAAATATTAATGTATACTATTATTAATGTCTATATTGCATAATTTCCAAATATATGGGACAACTGGGGAGGAGGAAGAATGAAAACAAGCAGTCACTGGCCTGAAGGTATCTTGTGGAAAAGAATAATTCCTAAAGCAATGTGAGCTTTTCTGCATTTCAGTATAAAAAGAAAGGATGTAGGAGGGTTGGGGAGAGGATGGCAGATCAGGCTGTACATGAATCTACTGGCTTTTCAGAGCTCTTACAACCCGGGGCCCTGTGAGAGAGAAACCTTGAAGATGACAGCAGTCGGGAGGAGGCACATTGGACAAGCAGCTTGTTATTTTTATGTCATTTTGATGACACATACAAAGGCTTGTATGTTAATATTGATGTCTAACAGCTCCACAGAAATTTTAGAAGTGTAGGCTCGCTTATGTGGGCAGGAGGAACTGTTGCGGGGTCATAAGGTTTTCTTAGCTGACGTAAAGCACTACAGTGTGTAAAGTACTGCACACATGATAAGCAAACATGTATTTATTACTAAGCAAGAGTCTCACTGCAGTCAGGAAACACACATCAACAACAGCAATAGGTCAGCTGGACTTCTTTCTTTCTACTGATCTCATTATAAAAGGAAGAAGCCACATGCAATCCTGAAAAATAATCTATTTTTTAAAGCATGAGGGTGTTTTGGGCCCTCGAGGTGCTACAAAGAGCCAAATGTCCCTTGGTATCAAAGGCTATGTGTGAGACTACTAGAAATTGTGAAATTCCTGTGAAATAAACTCTAAAGGACTGGTCTTTGAGATCTAAACTGTTTTAATAAAAAAGACTGCACCAGCTTGTCACTGAGGACGTTCGGATACAACGACCAACATCCCCTGTTTCGCTTGCGCAGAAAAAAAACGTGTGTGAGGTCTTTCTACTGAGTTTCTAAGAGCCATTAAGTAACCCAAAGTTGTACTGAATTCGAGGAAGAATGAAAAAAATAAAGCCATTTAATTTTAAGGTCCATTAAAAAGCAATGATTTCCACATGTGAAAGGGCCTAGATCAGTGTGGAGAAAGATCATTTCTTTTTCTTCTTTTTGGTTTGTATCATCAGTGATACAAACTGATGAACGAAGTTCGTTGAAGCTGAGGATTAGCAATAACACTGCCCTGACAGGGAGGTCTGTGATTATGGAATAGTTTCTCAAGGGAAGTGATGAAAGCCTCATCACTTGATTAGTTTAAAACTGAACTGGAAAAAGCATCAGAGAATATATTCTGAGAACAATTTTGCATTGGTTGGTAAACTTACAGCTTGACATTCCAGGTCCTTGCATTTCTGAACCTTTTTCTCATATCTTTTAATTGAGTTAAAACATAGAGTACACAAAGTATATTTTAATACATTCTTCTAATGCTAATGTGGTATAAACTCATCCAGTGCTTATACATGTAGTATAGAGGTTATGGATTGATGCTTCATTTCAGTCACAAAAGCAATTCTCCAGGCTCCCATTATCTACAATAGGTTCCTTAATTAAATGCAGTTATCCTGAGGTTAAATTTAAAAATATCTAATTTCATGCTTAAAAAAAAAATCTTCAACAAGTTATCAAAAAAAATGCATCTCTGTGCAAAACACTGAATGTGTGAGTCTCCTGAGAGTGAAGAAGGCACAAAAATCACACATGGCTGCTTGAAATTAGTCTCTGCACAGATGCTTTATGCTCTGTTTTTAATTATCATAACAGCACCCACTAGCACTGCTGCAGTTGAGGGTCTGCCGTTATTTCTATTCTAAACATTCTCTTTCACAGGTTTAATAACCCAGCCATAAAATTTAGCTCTGTTGTAGGTAGAAACAGTTGGCAAAGACGTGGCCTGCAGAGTCTTACAGTAAATTTAGTTTGAACTGATTTGGTTGTTTCCAAATTGATGAAGAGCAGAGCAATGGGGTGAAATTTCCAACTACTCTTCTTGATTTTTGAGGATTAAAAACATATTTCTTATGTTTCTTAATGATGGCTTTTGATTTTAAAATTGCATAATTTTTTTTCAGCCTGATTTTGTTCTTCATGCAGTGGTGATCCCATTTGTTGCAGTTTGGTTGTGGTTCAGACCAGTAACAGGTCAGGACAGAAATGGTGCAGTTCTTCATACCACTTAGTCATATTAAGTTTTTTCATGGATTAGAGAATTTCAGTAGGAATAACAATACTTCAGGGATAGTATTAATTACCTCAGAGTAATGGTTATACTAGGACACTGGATCTCCCATGCACGACCAATGCAGCATCTGAATCCACCAGTGATGCAAGCGTTTTCTCCCTGCATTTTATCAGACATGGAGCCCTTTTGCAATCTAAACAGCGACTAGTGGGGTGCTCTAAAAATCACTGCTTTTGGAATATCTCCTCAGAGAGCAGCACAGGCTGCAAGAGGAGCAAAATATTCCCTCTTGCAGGCCTGAGTGAAAGCACTGTGACTGTGCAGGATGGATATACAGATGACAATATCATGAAATGCCCTAAAACAAGCAATTACCTGGAATGCTGGAGAAGAAAGAAGTCTTTCACTTACTCATGTTAGCTGTTCCTAGGGAAATGCTACTACTTTTTGATAAACATCACATTTGCAATCAGATACTTCTGCTACTTTTCTCACCTCGGTGAATTCATCTATGTTTACTTTTTTTTCCAATGTGTCTATGATTTCCAGCTTCCTGTCATAGATTGCTAGCAGAAAATGAAGAGATACTGTTTAGAAAACAACCAGCTGTGGTTTTGCATGTTGTACACATTTTTTGCTCACTGTATGTTACATTAGATTTCTTCTCATATTGGATTAAATTTATTGAGGCTATCCTGTATCACTTCAACAAACAGCTGCCTTAAAATTTGGAGGACAGAGATTTTTCTTTGCAGCAGTAGAATCTGGAAATTATAATAATTTTCCCAAATAGGTCTGTAGAAATATTCTGGCTAAGATATTCAAAACTATCTTTTGGTCAATTTCTGTGCTGCTTGTGCTGCTATCGAGGAATTGAGAAGATACGTCAAATATCTACACGGATTTCTCTATGCATGCTATTTTTGTTGGGATTATTTCTCGGTTATTAATTTTACAGTATATTAGGAATGAAAACTCACTACACTAAGAAATAGAGCAAAGCTACCAGTGAAATATGGCATAAAGCACCTGCAGCACCTACAGAGCAAATGTCAGGGCAGAAACTTCCCCTGGACTTTCATGTACCTGTGCCTCCTGGAAAGACTCAAGAGCTGCAGCCACCACACCAGAAGCACAAAGGCTGTGGCTGGCATTTGCATAACACGCTACCAATCTAGGAGGGTTACTTAGAGGAACAGTTCTCTAATATAGAAAGGGCTGAGCAAAGGCAAGCTCTAGACAAGGTTATTTCAGGAGCAAGCAGCAATACAGTCTGGAGATGCCCTGCTTATCTCTCATCCTGCAAAGGCAGATCTGTTATTATTGATGATTATTATACGTTATCTATGTAAAGGGCTGGCAGCAGGCTGTATGTTGCCACTTCAATGTTTCTAGCTGTATCTATTCAATTAAGAATATTAAGGGAGGTCAAGTGTAAACTATAAAGAGGATCAGCATTATGGAAATCCTTTCTATGCTGACTGCTCTGATATAGAGGCCTTTGTGTTTTATGTGACTAGCATGCCCGTGACTGGCAAAGGGAATGGCTATATTTTGAGGAATATGTCAGTTAATGTTTAGCATTTTTCCCAAAACTATAAATGGCAATAATATTGGCAGACTCTAATTTTTTTGATAGCATCTTTTCTCCCCACCTCCCAATATGCCAAGCTGTCCGTAGGCCTTACAAGCGTCAGGAACCAAGACATGAAGGTGAAAATGCAGGTTGTTACAATGAAAATGGTGATATGCACATGGCAATGTTGGGATAATGCAGTATATAAATGGATAGGGCCTGTATCTGGTCTTTTATCTCCCTGAAAGATTTTTTAAACTTCTCTTTGTTCTTCTCAATATCATACTGATGAACCACAAGTTGGTTCAATTTCTTTCCAGTCTGCCTGAAGATCTGTGGTTAGTGTCCTACCTCATGTCACTACCCTTACAGATTCTTTGTCATGATCAAATGTGTTTGCAGTTTGCCCCCAGTCTGCATCAGAGTTCAGACCATAGAAATAAAACTAAAGACACTCAAAAATTTACCTTTTCCTGCACTTATGGAAGTAGAAGCAATGACATCCAGAAATGACCTCAGGGCACTCTGAACCTACAAATCAAGGTAATAGTCAAAGGTCTGTTTCATGCAGACAACAGTAGGTAATTACTAAAATAAATCAGCCTGAATGACCAGTTCTGTGGGTCTGCCAGGCTTCCTACCACAAATAGGCAGGTCCTATTAAAAGTAGACATTGTCTGTGCTGTACCCCGTGTAGCCATAGGAAATTTTCCTAAGGGATATATGTGACTTGTAGGTAAGGTATTGATACCAAGAGATGTATAAAGATAATTTCAAGTCTCATCTTTTCTGGGCTGCAGTCTTGATAGAGGTATAAACAAGATTTAACGGATGCTATAGGAGAGCAAGAGTGGCTGCCCAGACCTTCTGAAGGGGATTCTGAGGCATAACCAGGTGCACCAAACACCATCCAGTAGGGAAGTATCTGAGCACTTCAAGGTGCATTTAACTCCCCAGACCTCTGTGGAGAAGGCATTGAAATCCTTCCATGTGCATATGGTAAATTAGAGCTTTGCGAGACTAAATGACAGATACCAACTTGCACCCTGGTTCTGGGGTGTCAGATCAGCACCACTACCCATCCTTCCGCTTCATTAATATGCCAGGTCACACTGCACTATCACAAACTCCCTTTTCCTCTTATCTAGAATAAATGTAGCAGTACATTAGCAAATATCTTCCCTAGTTACCAGTGCGATTGGTATTCTCCCACTGACATCCACTGTCCATTCTTTGAACTGAATTGCCAGAGCCTCCTTTCTCTTCTCTTTCACTTGAGACTTTATATTCTCCACCTGCTCCCTTTGATTACGTTTGCTCCTTGCCTCAAACTTCATCCTTGCCAACCTGTAGGACACGGGCATACAATTTAGAAAATAATTATAGTAAATAATGCTTTGGTTTTGACTTTCTTCATTTATGAAATGGAAATAAAACCTTTAGGAAATTATTAATGCTCCAAATGTTAAAAGCCAAAGGATCAGATCACAGGGAGAGAATGATCTGAAAAAAACAACAACGACAACAACAAAAAAACCCACTATTGCTGTTCCCAGAGGTTTTCCTCATTCCTCCCCGTTTTTCACATATTGCAGGAAGATGGGCTGATACTATCCCTGGTATCTTCTGTTGCACTGGATTTATTCTAGAATTTATAAAAACAATGACATTTGCAGTAATAAATAATAAGGCCTGTTTAGCAAGTTGTAACAACACGCTTTGATCCCAGTCATTTTCATCACTAGATGCCTATTCTTCATGGCCATTTATCACAGAGGTTTTTAGGTGCTGGGTACCCATGGCACAATGAGCTTATTCCAGTATCGACACTTTCGGAAAAGATGAGATGGCAGGATGGTGACTTCTCCCTGCAGAATGAGACATGTTTCTTCAGGAAGACAGCCGCCTAACTCCCACACAGGGACGGCTGACTCAGACAGGACAGCCGTCCTTGGACAAATACAGGCTCTGTTTCAGGTATCAATCCATTCAGTTAATGAATTTCTTCCATCTGTTCTCCCACATTCCTTGACTCCACCAGTAAAGAGAGGCTGGAGGAAGCCTGAGAAAAGCTCACTGAGGATTAGTAAACTTCAGATAAGTACGTGTGGTGAAATCCTGTCTTTGGTGAAGGTAATGTCAAGGCTTCCATGAGTTCCACTGGGGTCAGAATTTCACTCCTGATCTTTCTGATGCGTATGAGAGAGATTGTGAGCCCAGCCTGGCATTCCTTTTTTTTTTTTTCTTTTTTCCCTTTGTTTTCTTCCTATTTAAAAAGCTAGTGACTCATATTAAGAATCTCAAAATGCTACACGATGTCAGTAAGATCCTCTGTGCTGCTGTGGTTTAAGAAGCCTATATAACCCCGACAATACAGTGCCACCACAAATACGGAAATCCTGAGCTCCTGAGAACGCAAATCCCATGGTAATACCACCAGCGGATATGCAAAACCTATTACAGCTACAGCTATGTGAACCTCTTGGCCATGTTGACCACAGACAGATTGATCTCTGCGGCTCCTGTAAGTCACTTCCTGTGCATCAGCTCTGAATCTTCCACAGCTAAAAACTGAGAACCTGGCTTTACACATGAACATGGAATTACCAGCACAATGCCAAGATAAGTCGCTGGATAGCCAGCACTTTTCGTGCTGCAGGGAAGTGTGACCTCTTCAGAAAAAAGCTCT